ATTTTTTTTGAAATTCTCAAATTTTTTTTTTACAATTCTCGGTTTCTTTCTTTTTCCTTGTGAAATTCTCGGATTTTCTTATAATCTAAACGTTTCAATATTTTAGAGAGATTATTTCGATATGTATCGATCACGCAGCAATTTAACCATATACGATTTCTTTTTGAGAACGTTGTTGTAGATAAAATGATGATTATAAATTTTTGTATTATCTGTATTATCTGTTACGTAATAAATGACAAATCACGAGAGATAATACATACATTCATCGCTCCCAAAACTAACACTAAATCAGATATCATGAGAGACATGCAGTATATTATTATTGTTGAAGATTTAATTTGTTACCATCTACCTAATCGTCGATACATCTTATTATGGTTGGTTTCATGTTAAATGAGAATAAGATGAATGAGAAGAATAAGAATATTGTAAAAAAAAAAAAAGCCAATTTCCCTTTAAAATTGAATGTTATAATACACAAACGCGCGCAAATTTTTTCTTTGTATACTACTCTCTATTATTGTTACGTTCACTAAAAATAAATACGGCACATGTTATGGTCATCGTCAACTTTTATTTACCAAATCTTTTTTTTCGACAAAACGAAAACTTGCATGTGTCCACGCGTTCTTCTTGGCTTTTTTATGAGAACCTTTTTTTTTAACCATTTTTGGTTAAAAATTTTTTTTTTTATATATTGAATTTTATATTGAAATTTATACTGATGGTTTTTTTTTACATTTGTGTTTATGTTATCTATTACGTTACGTGGCGGGAAACAAATTCCTTACTGATATACATTAATCCCTAATCTTCAGAATCGTATGATCATTTTAAAACGTATCAGCATTATTATTATTATTATTATTATTTTATATTGAATTTTATTAATTTATTATATTCAATTTATTTTACAGTTGATGACAGGGGACCTGATAATCACAATAATATAAAATAATAATGATGATGATTGTTTTATATTGAATTATATATATATATATATATTCGAATTTTTTTTTATATATTTCAATTTTATTTTACATTTGTTATCTATTTTTCGTGACGGAGTACATTAGTCTCTAATCTCCGGGATCGTATTATCTTTTTTTTTTTTTTTTTTTTTTAAAAAAAAAAGGACCATTAATAATAATAATAATAATCATAATATGAAAATTTCTTCAAACTTAAAAATAATTTTTCCAAAACGTAATTTGCACTTTACATTGATATTATTACACAAGACAAGGCAATCATATATAAAATATTATTCTTTTATTACTAAAAATATCAATCCATTAATCTTACAGGTGTAAATAAATAAATAGGTTGATACGTATTGTAATTTGTTATTTAATTAATGAATTAATAAATTTAAAAATCAATTAAAAATCAATTTAATCAATCAAATTTAAATTTAAATCCAATTTATTCAATTAAATCAAATAAATCCACTAAATCAAATAAATTATTATTTCCTAAATCTCTTTTAAATAATGTATGAGCATTTATAAAAAATATATAAAAAATAAATATATTAAACCAAAGAAAGCAAAGTGAAACAAACGAAAAAAAGATCGCAGAATAAAATTTCTTATAAGAAAAAAGAAAGAACCGCATTTTTTAGGTCAAGTATGGCAAATCAGTCACATGATAATCAAATTCCCCATCAAATATCCTAACAACTCGATTTTAGCACACCTTGTTACTTGAATACTTACAGTAAATGCAAAAAAAAAAAAATCAAAGTAACAATAGTAAAAATAAGCTATAGAAATATATAGTAATTGATTATGATAAATAAATGATAAATTGATTTGTCAAGTATTTGATAAGTTACTTTAATTGATTAGTAATTATTAGTAATTGTTTTTGTTGGGTTTAATTGGAAATTTCAATATTATGTTTCTATAAGAATATATATATATATACGACAGATCAGATTAAATTAAACAAAAAAAAAGTCAACAGGAGTTTGAACTTAAAAAAAAAAAAAAAACTTGTTTGTTCTTTTCCTAAAAAGACCCTTTAAAAAAAACCACCCCTCTCCCCACTCGGAAAAAACATACGCGAAATCATATATCAGAAAGACATGCCACAAAAAAACTTACGCATATGTAAATTTTGATTCAGAGCTTCTGTTTTTAGTATAGTATAATCAGCATCACAAAAAATAATCTCAATAAATATCTAATTTGAATGGCTCCTTTGCACCACGGAATAAAGTAAGGAACAAAGAAAGGAACAAAGAAAGAAATATTTTTCATCACAACAATCGTCATCTTAGATTAAAGAAAGAAAGAACAAATGAAGAAAGTTTGCACCACCATAATCATCTTAGGTTAAAGAAAAGAATAAAGAAAGAATTTTCAAAACATATCTTTGATGGTAATGATAACTGATACGATAATAACATCTGATATACATATAGATAATAATTGAATCATATCGGTATGATGTGAACCAATGAATGAAGGAATGAATTTCTTTACAAATTTCATTATGATTCTTTCGTAAACGAAGAAAATCCAATACAATTTTTTTTTTACTTATCATTATTTATTAATATTATTAATTGTCATTCATATATATATTTATATATATTGTCCTAAAGAAGGAATTTTTTTTTTTTGAATTTTAGAACGAACTTTATTTATTTATTTTTATTTATTTATTATTACTATGTATTACCATTATTATTATCATCATCATCATTATTATTATACTAATTCTAATTTAGCAAACTTTTTATTAGGGTTCAACGAATAAGAACAGGATATATAAAATATATATCAAATATTTTTACAACTTATTCTTTCTTTTATTATTCGATTTTAATTATGTTGTCATCACACACGTTCATGTAACTTTTGTCACAAATAAATAAATGTTCATATTCGGATTATTACAATGTATATAGTTACATTCTTGAAAACTTGTGTTATGTAAATAATATGAATCGGATATGCACATGTAATTATTTACTTTTTTTGAAGCCGAAAAAATATACTACATATTTGTATTGAAAATGATATTATTTTCAAATAAGATAAAATAAACTTTGTAATATAAATTAATTTTTTGTTAGTCAGTATTTAATAATAATAACATTCTTCTTCTTATTGCTATTACCACTTTTAAGAAATTCTTCTTCTTCTTCTTATTGCTATTACCACTTTTAAGAAATTCTTCTTCTTCTTCTTATTGCTACTACCAATTTTAAGAAAATAATAATAATAATAATAATAATTTGTCACATAAACAAAAAAATTTTCGGATATTGACACAAATTAAGGTTGAATAAAAAAACCTTTGTTACCGTTTTTTTTTTAATTCATAAAAATTAAAAAATTTTTTAAAAAAAAATAATTAAATTATTATTATTGTTTACAGAGTTTGCGTTTCGAACCCTTGAACATTTCGAAACGTTTCAAAAAAAAACAAAAAAAAAACAAAGGATTTAATTTTATTTAATAAAATAACTCGGGCACAAATTTTATTTACATTGATTACTAATTAATTCAAATTTATTTTTTAATATAAATAAAACTAAAAATAACTGTTCGGAAATTTTGTTACAATAAAAAACAAATCTGCAAACCCCCGATCTTAGATTAATTACTAATCATTACCCCTGTGTATTATGTATTATGTCATAATGTAATTATGTTGTATTTATTATATTTATTCGTCGGAAAAATATAAAGTATGTAAAGTGAATTTATGACGATATACTGTAGTGAAGAAGGTGAAGAAGAGAAAAAACTCAAGGAAAGAGAGAGAATAGAGAGAGAATAGATGGATAAACTCTTCTTTCTATCAATTTGAATTTGAATTAATTCTCTACTTATTTATTTATTTATTAGTTCACTTATTCATTCATTTATTTCATTTATTTATTAAAAAAGAAAGATTTTTATTTTTTTTATATTTTTTTTTTTTATATTTTTATTATTAAAAATTATACAGAAAAATAAATAGTCTATATTAATTATTACTATGATGAAGATGATGATTAATTAAATTATTATTATTATTATAATTTTATAATTTTCCATACACATATAACACATATTTTTTTTTGCATATACAAAAAAGAAGAAAAAAAAAAACTTAGCGCATATTACTCATAAAATCCATCGACCAATATTATGTATAAATATATATTCATATTTATATATATATTGTTTTACACAATTTTTTTTTTTAAATTATATTTTTTTTATATTGATTTTTTTTTTGTTTGATTCATTTTTGGAAAACCCATATACCCAAGATTGAAAATTTTGATAACACTAGGTAATAAACTAGAGTTGAATAAATTTGAATTTTTTTTTTTAATTTTTTTTTAAAAAAATAAAACACCCGAAAATTTTTTACTGAAAGAAGAAGATCGAAAGTTTGGAATCGGTATATCTAGGAAAAAGAAAAATATATGTACTAAGAAAGATATATATTACAGAAAAAAAAAAGAATTGATTTTTCTGATCAAAGAAAAAGAACGAGAAAAAAATATATTAAAAGAACACCAGAGAAAAAACTTTTTTAACCAAGAAAAATAAACAAAGAAATGTAAAGAAAAAAAGGGAAAAAAGGGGAGAAAAAAAAAAAAAGAAAATTAAAAGAAAAAATAAAAGAAAAACCACAAGAAAATTAAAAGAAAAAATAAAGAAAAAACTAAAGAAAAAAATAAACTAAACTAAAGGAAAAATAAAAGAAACGCCGTTAATATAAAGAAACCTCACAATCCACATTTTCTTCCAAAAATCAACTTTACATATTATGAATGTGTTATGAATGTATTTAAATTATTTAAATGTGTTGATACAAATGAAGTGTGTTAATGTGTTATAAATGTGTTATAAGTGTAAAATGCTTTTTTTTTTTTTTAATTATTATTTATTAAAAATATTTAAACAATTATTTTTGTTTTTTTTTTGTTTGTTTGTTTGTTATTAATATTATAATATTTTTTTATTTATGATATTATTTATCATCCCTTAATATTGTTGCCAATCAGGTAATTCACAAGAAAAATTTACTGGGGAACTATTTAAAGAATTTCCAATTGATTCATTACTAAATAAACTTGATTCATCAGTATCAGAAGTTGATAATAATGGTAAACCTAAAGTGATATCACTAAATCTTGGTAAAGAAGAAGAAGAAGTGGTGGAAGTAGTAGAATTGGTGGAATTACTATGAAGATCATGATGTTGATGAATATCTTGATTCAATTGTGAAAATATATTTGGATTATAATCATATGATAGAAAATGAGGATTTTGTTGTTGTTGAGAATGATGTTGAGAATGTTGATGTTGTTGTTGTTGATGGTGTGATTGTTGAGAATGATGATGATTAGCATTATTTTGATCCTCTAAAAAGTAAATAGGGGAATGAGTAAAATCTTGCATTGAAGGTATTGACGGTTGATGATGTTGTTGTTGTAATATTGTAGTATAATGATTATGATTATTATGTTGTTGTGGTTGTTGATGATGATTTGAAGGAACGGTGGTAGTATGAGTATGATGATGAGAAGATGGTGATAAAGAAGTTGATGAAGGTGAATGTGGAGAATGTTGAGAACGAATAGTAGGTGAAATTAAATAAGGAGAATGTCGAGTAACATTACGATGATGATGATTATTATGATTAGGATATGAAATCGAAGCAACGGTAATAGTAGAAGCATTATTCGCTGAAATAGAAGAAGGAACTGTTGTTGATGATTTTACAGAAGTTGTATCAATCATACAATTATTAATATTATTAATATTATTAATATTATTAATATTATTAATATTACTAATGTTATTAATATTATTATTATGATTATTATGATGATTGTCTTTTTTATTATTATTATCATTATTTTGATAATTTACTCGATCCCAACTTTGATAATAAGTTGAACTGGATAATAATAATTTGACATGAATCTTTTCAACTTCTCTTGCAATATCTTCATACTTTCTTTTAACTTTTCTTGATTCATTTTTCCAAGCCATAGCTGCCATTCGAGATACTTCTCTCATCGATAATTTATTACAACCACAAGATTCTAATTGTTTAGATAATTCTTTCGAATATTCATTACGATAAATTAAAAATTTATTTGTGGCTCTTGATAATAATTCACCATTTTTCTTATTTCTACGAATTAAATCTGATGGATTTATTTTTGGTGGAAATGGTATAATAATTCTTTTAAATATTTCAGGATCAGGAGTTGGATGAGGGTTTAATGATTGAGTAGGAGGTGAATTTATTGTATTTGATTCATCGATAAATATCCATTCCTGTTTACCACCATTATTATTATTGACAGCGTTATTGATTGTAGAATTAGTCGTCGTGGTAATGGGAGAATTTGTAATGGAAGTAGTAGTAACAGTAGGTGCAATACTAGGTGATGAGTTATTATTAACAATTGCAGCAGCGACAACAGCGGCAACAGAAGCAGCGGTAGTAGTATCAGTACTAGTAACAGACATTCTTTTTAATACTAATTTTTTTTTTATTTTTTATTTTTTTTGAAATAAAAGTGTAATAATAACGATTATAGGATTATAAGATTTATAAACGATGATAAAATTATAAAAACAACGACGAATTGTTTTATAATTGTTTTTTTTTTTCGATTAACGGTTTTGTTTATAATTAACGGTTTTTTTTTGTATTAATAATTTTAATAATTTTAAACTTTGTTAATAAAATTTTTTTGATGGAAGTTTTTTTTTCCTTTGAGATTCTAAGACCAAAAAAAAATTTTTTAACTTGACAAAAGAAGGGAAGATGAGGATTTATATACTAATGGATGATGGAAATTTGTATACTCATTTACCTTCCCTGCATAGTATCCTATCTTTATCACCTATCACAATCTTATTTTACTTTCGCAATTAAAATAATAAAGTTTGATCATCAAATTACATAATATTAATTGATTAAGTAAACATGTTTTATACAGTAAATAATTGTAGTAAATATGTTCTCGGAGATTTTTATTTTATATATTTATATTCGACTCAAATAATTTGTACTCTAATTTTTGTTGATATCTTATTTTGGAAGGTTTTTTTTATAATAGTATCATTATTATCATTTTTACATAGTAAAAATAACTTTTGTTGTTAAAAAGAAGAATAATAATAATAAAATAAATAAATAATAATAATTAGTTTTAATTGTGATAATAAAAAAAAACAATTAATTTATAATAATATAATAATAATATAATGATAATGATCATTAATTTATAAATTATAAAAAAAAATTTTTTTTTTTTAATTTATAATATTGATAATTGTTTATTATATCCATCATTTGTATTAGGTTCTTTCGCGCATGACTTTAAACCAATATATTAACCTTTTCATGCCATAACCTTTTTGTATTAAAGAAGGTTAGTTTCTTACTTCTTTCTTGCTGATAAAAGGTACTAAAGCAACAATTATATATATATATAATATAATATATATTAAAGAGAACGGTAGATTTAATAATTTTTATTTTAAATTTTTATTTTAATAATAATTTTTGTTTATATTAATCCAATATATAAAAATGTGTAACATAACATAACATAACATATAATAAAATATATAAAATAAATAAAATCCATTTGCCAAGGAATCAAAGGAGTTTTACAGTATATATTTTCAAATCTTAACATTGTGTTTTAATGTTTATGTTTATGACTTCATGACGTTAGGGAATAATTTGTGGAGGTTTTTAAAATTTCGTAGTGTCATTTTTCAACCATGCATACATGATATATGCTATACACGAACACCAAATATGTATGAAATAATTAAAAATAAAAAAAAATAAAATAACTAAAATTAGTCCTTGTTAACAAATTTTATTAATACTCTTTTTTTTATCTCTGATTTGTTATTGGTTCGTTAAATTAATTGTTCCCGTGTTTAATAAAAAAAAAAAAATTGCTTATTAAAGTTATTCGTAATATTTTTTAATATTTTAATTTAAAATTTTTTTGTCAGAATATATACCTCATATAGTGTTATATAGTATTGTTGTTTTATATTTATTGAGAAAAATTACATATAAGAATAATCAAAAAAGTAAATATTCAATTAAAACTAATAATTAATCTAATAAATTACCTAAATTAACTAAATTAATAAAATCAACAGTGATGATGATAATAAAATAATCGAAAAAAAAATAATAATAAAAATTAATTAAATTATATTAAAAAAAAAAAATTATTACCTTTTAAAATAATAATTCTTCCGAATCAATCGAATAATTACCCCCGACCGGAAAAATGGTCATCCCGTTGTTTGGAAAATCCTGTATTAAATAATAATTGTATTCAAAAAAAAAAAAAAAGTATAAACCTTAATGAATTGTTAATTATTCTTAGTTATTCTTAATTATTATTATCATCATTATTATTGAATTACCGTAAATATACCAAAATCAATAATAATAATTGTAATAAACAATAAATTATTGTAATAAATAATAATAATAATTGTAATAATAATTTGCGTTCAATCGAATAAAAATATCCTTGCTGCTGCTTGAATAATCTCACTGAATAACCTATTAATAATAAATAATAACAATCATAGTAATAATGAAATAATAAAAATAATAAAAATAATAAACAATTATGATGACAATAAAATAATAATAATAATAATAATAATAATAATAATTAATAAACATTTTCATCGTCCATTCAATGTTACTTTATATTACTTTCCGTTATTGACATATTGGACATTTTCCAATGAAACAAAATTATTAATATTTTCGATCATTATTGTGCATCTATTACGATTTATTTGATTCATTATGATCCATTATGGTTTATTATGGTTTATACGAATATACAATAAATAAAGCAAACGCTGTATAATTAAAGTGGATATATAAGTTTTATAAAGTGTATAAGTGTATAGAAAAAAGTGCATATATGAAATACATATATATATTAAAGTATATATTAATCTATTGTTTTATGTTTTATACTTTCGATATATAAGTTTATTCGAATTTCTCAACTAATTTTTTTTATTAAAATTTCATTCTATTCTTGAACAAATGTAACCCCACATTTTAGATTTCATGCATTCATGCAGGGTGGGGTTTCTTTATCCTGTGTGCAAAATAATATGTATGAAGGTAATACAACGTACGTACGTACGTTTGAGTTTCGATCTCGAAAAAAAAAAGTTTCGAAAAATCGAAAAAATAATCAAATCTTGAAAAAATAATCGTCCCGGAAAGAGTCGAGCTCGAAAAGGGTTCTCGAAAGAAAAAAAATACAGTAAAGAAAATCTATCCTTGAACGGTGGCAAATTTACACGAAAAATTTTCCTTAATTATATTTTACATATGTAAATTTTATGGGTGTGTTCAATTTCGGATTGGACTGAAAAATCTGGATTATCTATTATTTTATCTCCGCCATATTATAATATTCCACATAATGCAAACTTTGTAACGGATATTTGAAAAGGGTTTAACCTGAAATTATTTGTGAAATTTCCCAATCATTTCAAAGAAATAATAAAAAAATGCTGGAATTTTGAACTTCTCAAGTTGAAGAATTGAAATCTCAACTTGATCAATGTAGACAAGATGATGAAAAATTTGAAGCTCATTAATCGGAAAAAAATTTTATTCAATATGATCCAAATGAAGCAATATATACAAGTAGACTCATATTTAAATCAACAATCCCTGAATATGATACATTTGAATTATTTACTTTTTTTTAAAAAAAAGAAAATTTATATTAATTTAATTTTTTAAATTCAAAAACAGCAATTTTTTTTCAATTCCTGATGATATAACTGATAAATTTATTTCTTTAATTATTTTGTCTAATATATTTTTACTAACTATATTTAAATTTGTATAGTTGAAGATGAAGAAAATGAAACTCAAGAAATGGAATGTAAATTTAATTTACTGGAAATTAATTGAATAACTGGTTAAGAATTAAATATTTATCTTTTAGTTTTAGATATGCTATATTTTGTATGGTTATGGATACAGATACATGAGATGAACTTTAACCTTTCTTATTTGTTTCGCATATTCTCTACCATATAAACAATTACCTGAAAAATTCCCAAATTTCCTTACGTGGCAACTGACCTTTTTTTAAAATATTTATTTTTTTCATAAGAAAATATGCCATCCATCATAAAACTTATAATATAAGTAGTATTTATTCATACTTTTTTCCAATGACTTATTTTTAGCCATTATCTTATTATTAATATATATAGTTTCAATTGCACATTAAAAAGTACCATATGAACGTTCAAAATTACTTTACATATGGTCAAAATTGCTTTTGAATGTTCCAACTATGACAAAATTAGAGAACTGTAGTCAAGCATAGGGCAATAGTACCTTGGACGACTCTATGTGGAGAAAAACCGCAAAAACGCCGTGTTATCCTGTACTCCCAGACGATGAGCCTAAAATTGAGCAAGATAGTTGTCCGGTATCAGTTGGTGCGGATTCGACAAATCATCGTGCAATAATTCGCCCATTTTAGTTGAAAAATTAAGTGAATCTGATGGTTATCAAGTGGCAACTTCTCTTCGTCTTAAACTCCAAACTGAAGATCCTAAAGAAAATACTATGAAGGAGCTTCAATGTTACATAACGGAAGTTAAGCAGTTTGATTTTAATCATATTATTATTATCGGAAAACGTTATTGTGGATTGTTTTGGCCGCGTGTTTGATATGGTTTCTCGGGGATTATTTCGAAATTATATCAAAGGAGGAACTTATGATGATCGGACATATATTTTATCTCAATCTTTTATACCAGGAGAATATGACATTTCCTTAATCTTTTATAACTTTTTCTTTCTTCAAATATACCAGGAAAATATGACATTTCCTCAATCATAGATGAGATGAAAAAGGAGATGAAAAAAGAAGAAAAAGAAGAAAAAGAAAAAAAAAAGAAAAAGCGTCATTGATTTTTACTGACATTGATGGAAATATCTTTGGTCTTACAATTATCATAATAGTTTATCAAAAAACAGTCTGATTTATTTTGAAACTTTCAAGCCAATAAAGTTCCCGATTATCTTATGTCAGAAAAGATTGCGTATGCATAAAATTGTTTCCAAAAATAGATTTTATTGCTTAATCATGGAACATTTAGAGTTTTGCATCATTAAATGACGGAATTACTACATATGGGTCTTCGTAATACCAAACATATCTTAGCATAATTTTTCCTCGAATTGATCCTGTGATTAACAAAATTAATTAGGATCTCCTTTATAGAATTTGTTATATTTTTCATGCCGTTGCCCTTGTACTTCGATCGCAAAACCATATTGTGGAAAATAAATATCAAGTTCTAATCCTGTGGTTGGCGTCATATGTAATCACTATTTTTATATGCAATATGCTTACGAACTTTTATTTTTGAGATTTCCATCTATACATTTTAATACTTTTCTCTTCTATACAATCAAAATAAAAAAAAAAAACTTTTATAAGAATCACTTTTCTTTAATTTTTTTTTGACTTTAGTCTGAGATGCAAGTGTAATTACAAGCATAATATTATTTTATATATCCTGATATATGTACTTAGAACGTAAAATTTTTATTTTATTATATATTGAATAATAATTATTAAATTGACAATACAAAAAAGATAAATATTATTTTTTTAAGTGTATTTTACTTGTTTTTATGGTAGTTCCACCTATACATGTCAACAATTATTGAAATTTTAATTGCGTCTATGTAATTGTGTCAAATAATTGTGTCAATTGCATCAATCGCATCAATCGCATCAATTTTTCATAATTTTAATTGCATCTGACTAAATTTAATAGTTTTGGTGACATATATAGTTCATACCTTTTCATGATCCAAACTTCAGATAATTGCTCACAAACAGAAATAATGGCCTCATCCGGAAGTTTATCTTTATATATTTTAAAGTGGAAAGAATTGTCATTTCATCTTCAGTCATATGACGTCTTGTAGTTATTAATTTTCTTTTTTTTTTTGTTTGTGAATTGGTTGTATTATCTATTAATTAGTTTAAACTTAATTCATTAACTGTTTCATTTTTTACCATTTGTGTTGGCTCTCCAAGATTTATTGTATTGGTATTTTTGATCTTTTTTATTATAATCTTTTAATTTTGTTTACAACTTTTGTCGTTCTTCTACCTTAGATATTTTTAGGTTCTATTTGAGAATTTCTTGTCTATATACTTTTAATTCACTATAATCCATGTGGATAACAAGCAACAAGTTGCTCAAGTTCTTCTTGATACATTTGTGTTGGATTATATTTTTGAAATAATGGGTGAGACAAGAGTTTATCCATCCAAAAACCATTACGAGATCGTCTACTAACTTCCACAAAGATTCCTTGCGCGATTTAATAGCTCTTTCACTAAGTGAGATAGAAATATCATAAAGATATTCACTAAGTAACAAGTCGACTCTTTCTCTTTCATCTTGGAAAGCTTTGATTTGATTTTTTAGATTGTTCTCATCAATAACATCACCACTTATACTGCATTTAATAAATTTATCTCCAAAAGTTTTAAGAGCTTCATCAATCCAAAACAAATATGACGTAAGTTTTTAGAGTCATTATTATCTTGTGAAATTTTGAATACACCACAATAATTCAACTTCTTTTCTAGTTGAGAATATGTAGCTATAATAGCAAGAAAATGAGATTGATAGACGTGAAATAATTCATCAAATACATAGAATTCCCAATTGGAAAGAAAAAAATTAGAAAAAAGGTATAGAAATAATACACAAATTCTATGAAATGCTATTCCCCCAAATTTATCACAATTGATTGGGAAGGTAATATGATTTTAATACAGGATAAAAAAATGCAAAATAAAATATATAAAAAAATTATTCATTTTGTGGTGATGAAGAAACAGTGGGACTTGGATCAACATTTCTGGGAGGCGTGTATCAGCTTGCTCTAGGGAATAAAATTCTAAATAAAATAATTAATTTATTTACATATACAATCCCAGTTACATGTATGGATACATTTACAGATATATGAGGTGCCACTTTAACTTTATTTTGTTTCGCATATTCTCTATTGTATAAACGATTACCAAATTTTCTTAAAGTACGTTTCAAAGCATCGACAACTGCTCCTTTTTTTTTTAATTGAAAAATATTTATTTTTTTATAAGGAAATATACCATCCATCATAATACTTATTTTATATAATATATAATATATTATATTTATTCATACTTTTTCTAAGGCCATTGACTTTTTTTCAATATTCTATTAATAATAATTATTATATAGAATTTTCTGTGTGCACAAATAAAGATTATGATCAAAGACTATATTAATTAGAAAAGTACCACATAAAAGGTACCTTCCAGTGTTTTAAATTCAAAATTTAAATCCTGTGCGGAATTTACATAATTTAGAATTCTATATGTAAAAATTTGTGCGGATGTCTTTTTTTTTATATGCGAAGTTTTAAAATTTTGTGCTAGCGCACATTCCGCACATTGAATTTCAAACACTGGTACCCGTCCTTTAAAATTACTTTACATGTGGAAGAGACTCCAACTGAATAATTCCCTGCTTCACAGTCAACCATTAATTGTTATTAATCATTATTAATTAATTGTTTGTATTATTTATGATTATAAATATTTTTAAATATTAATGCAAAAAAAAGTAATAATAAAAATTTCTACATACAAAATCAATAGTAAGATTTTCAATTTTATGAGACCATCAATTAAATCCAAAATAAATCATTAGCAATATTAATGCAAACTTCCTTTCCACCTATTTATTATTAAATATTTAAAAATTTTTTTTTTAAAAAAAAAGGATTAAAATGATTATATGACACTTACTGTACACATGTTTTAGCGAGTATTATCAGTTATACTATTTTTCGCGTACTCTTAATAAAATTTATCTCGAAATACACGTAAAAAATAAAGTAAAATCGGTATTCTATTATCACCACCAGTTTTAAGTCTAATAGACAAAAATCCAGGCTCTACTTGTTTGTTGAGGATAACTTTTTCTTCTTTATGTAAAAGTCGATTATTATTGTTGTTATTATTTGACCGGTTTTGTCGGTCTCCTCCTTTAAAAACTATTTCTTTTAATTGAAATAAAGGGTGATTTATATATGTATAATTTGTATAATTTGTATAATATGATAGAGTGAATTTTTTAAAAACGCGAAACGATTAAATTTTGATAACACGTGATAAAGCGATAATATACTCCATTTGATAATCTTATCCTCTTCATGTTCTATGTTCTGTATCTTGGAATTTGGATATATTTTTTTGTTGTAATATTGGTCATGTGACAAGTATTGCTCGTATTTCAGTATTTGTGTGATTATCTCTATATATTATGTACATGTTTTATTATATTGAATAATTATCATATTCTCCGAGAGCTTGATATAATGTATAAGTTCCATCTGTCCAAATTAAAAAACCATATATAAATTATTTTTTCCACCATAAAATGATTATGTTCTCGTTTATCCTAAGAAATTGGTGAATCTTTAAATCCCTGTATATTAATAACTATCCAAGGTACATTGAGATAATTTGTTCCCTATATTAATTAATCATACAAGTAATATTAACCAATTATGGATAATATATATGATATGATCGATGTAATAACAATAATGATGATGAATTTTATATAATAAAAAATACATACCGAACGGATTTAAATATAGATAAAATTATTGCTAAAATCAAAATTCGCTTGCTTCAATTTAATAATGGAAATTGGGAATATCAAATTTCAAGATTTCAAGATATTTATAAAGTGGAAGCAATGTAAATAATAATCATAATCAATAAATTATTATTATTATTGTTTGTCGATTATTGCAAGCCGAATATCTCAATCAAAAATTGATGAGAAAATTTGTAATGGATTAATTATTTACATTTCTGGGATAGCAAAGAGAACAAGTAGAAAATATTCTTTTTTTATTTCTTTCCTTCTTTTGCGATATTCTGTACACACGTAATAAATATATATATTAAATCATCATTTTTTTATAAACAAAAGTTGAAATTACCAAATTTAGATATTTTTGATTATCCAAAAACATTAATTTCTCTCAAGGTAAAATTGGTTCTGGATTTGATATATCGGCAGCTATTTGGGGAATTATGTATAAAAGGGTTTACCAGATATTTTAAAAAATATTATTGAAAATGATCAGATTAGAAAAAATATTTTTTTAATTAATATCTCGATTATTTTTTATTTTTTTATTTTAATTTATTATTATTTTTTTTTTGAAATTTAATCATTGTCCGGAGCGTAGCGTAGGACTTTATTCTTATACACATAGTGAAGATTTGAATGATAACGATCCTTGTCACTAAGATGTGATAATTTATACATCCCATTGGCTCCGGACTCATAATGGTTTCCATTTTCTAGTTTTAATAAGTAAAAAAAAAATTGTTTTATTACATCGTAATGCAAATATTTTCTTTACATTCTCTTTCTCTTTCTATATTTGCTTTTTATTATCATTATTACTATTACTTTTTTTAAAAAAATATGGATGTGATAATCAAGTAGTTTCAATTTCCCTTTCACCACAATTTACTTTAATTCTAGCTGATATTAAAATACTCCAAAGTCTCGTTAATAAAGTTTGACCTGGCGAAAGTCAAATCCGAATGAAGGTAAACTAATAAATTATAATATTAAATATTTATTAAATTGGCTATTGCTAAAACTTTACGCATTTCATAATTCCAAAATTATTGATAATCTACTTGAAATAAACAAGGAATACAAATTAGATTGTTCAAATGAAAATTTTCCGATGAAAGTTTTACGTATTATCTATTACTATCTATTTCCTCTATTATTTACTTATTTTTCCTAATTTTTGAAAAAAAAGTTGATATTACATATTTTAAAATACTATTTAAAATAATTAAAGGAAATAAATAACTTAATTTCTACGTGAAATGTCAACATCGTCAAATACTCCCTCCAAAAAACTTGATGCTTGTATGAGAAAGATGGATGGTAAAATGTCAAATACTCGACTCAATTTGTCATTTTATCATTTTTTACAAGTTTAATATTAATCCGATTAATTATTATTATATATTAACTATAACTATAATATGCCTCATTCTACTTTCTTTCTTATTCACCAATGTCTGGGAATTTCGCAGTTAATTAATATAAATAATAAATTATTTCACTGTTTTTCTTTTCCTTTTAGGAAAAAAAAGAAATTTTTGCCTTTTCGGGGCAAGATTTCCAGGTGCCGCTCTTGTCCGAAAAAGGGCAAAATTTCCTTCTATATCATTCGAATCTATGAAAGTAAATTTTTACCTTTTTCGGATTGAATTGTCGCTCCTCTCTGAAAAAGGTAAAAATTGACCATTATAGATTCGAATGATATAGAAGGAAATTTTGCCCTTTTTTAGATTTAGATGTCGCTCTTTTCCGAAAAAGGTAAAAATTGCCTTTTATATATTTAAATGATATAGAAGGAAATTTTTACTCTTTGGTAAATGATTGTTGCTTCTAAAATTTATTTAAAATTTTGCAAGTAACATAGTTAAATCTCCTTTAGACTCACAAGCCTAGACAATTTAATAATGTTTTTTCAGACATCTAATTTTTAGTAAATCATTTATTAAATCTATTATCTTTTAGGTAATTTAATAAATATTATTAAATCATCTAAAAATAATATTTTTTATTAAATCATCTAAAAAATATTATTTTAGACGAAATATTCATTAAATCGTTCAAAAAATAATATTTTTTAGATAATTTAATTAATATTTATTTAATCAGTCTAAAAAACAAAGTTTTTAGGCGATTTAATAATTAATCGTCTAAAAATATTATTTTTTAGACAATTTATAGACGATTAATTATCAAATCGTCTAAAAAATATTATTTTTAGACGAAATATTTATTAAATCGCCTAAAAATATTATTCTAATATTTCATCTAAAAATAGATGATTTTATATAATATTTTTAGGCGATTTAATAATCGTCTAAAAATATTATTTTTAGACAATTAATTATCAAATCGTCTAAATATTATTTTTAGACGAAATATTTATTAAATCGTCCAAAAAATATTATTTTTTAGATGATTTACAGCCGATTTAATAATTAATCATTATTTATAGCCGATTTAATAAATATTATTATATTTATTAAATCGGTCTAAAAATAATATTTCTTTAGACGATTTATAGCCGATTTAGTAAATATTATTATTAAATTGTCTAAAATAATAGTTTTTAGATGATTTCTAAAAAACAATATTTTTAGACTATTAAATAAGAAAATTGCTAAAGCTCACCAGTGGTGATTGTCACCACTGGGCAAAATTAAATTTATGTGGGCAAAGTTAGGGTTAGGGGTTGGGTTGATCAGGGAATTATGTAATTTTGCCTGGTGGTGACAATCACCACCGGTGAGCTTTAGCAATACCCATTAAATTATTAAATCAAATAAAAAAATATTTTAAATTATCTAAAAATATTATTTTTAGACAAAATATTAATTAAATCGTCTATTTTTTAGACAATTTAATAATTGATTGTCTATAAATCATCTAAAAAAAAATATTTTTAGACACCTAAAAGTAATTAATTATCTAAAAATATTTTTTTAGACATCTAGGAAATATTATTTTTAGGCGATCTAACAATTAATCGTCTATAAAATCATCTAAAAATAATCTTTTACTTACTAAAAAAATAATTATATAGTATTATTTTTATTACAACAAGTGGTCTAGATTAGGAGCATTTTGTGCTCACGATATTCAGCTTAAACCCTATTTCTTTGAACATCCTTCTTTTGAAAGATTATGTTTAAAGAAGTCTTCAGTACTTATTAAAAGCAAAGCAATCTTTATATTTGTCAAAATATTAAAGAACAAATCATCAACCAGACAGAAGATCAATTTATATACAATTTTGTAATGACTCTTTGATATATACCAATTTAATTTATGAAGGCTAATTTCAACTTTCCATATCTATACTGAATATTTAAAAACAGAGAGTTTCAGCTAAGTTTTGATAATTTAATGAATATTAAATTTATTTTAGAATCAAAAGATTATAAAATACAACCATTTTAAACAGAATATTTCATATATTTATACAAAATTTTTATACTAAAAATTCTGAAAATAAAATTATTATTAATGAGGAAAACCCCTACACTTGAATAAATAATTTATTTGCAGCCAATACAGTTAAATAAAATTTTGAATAATTAATAATTGAATTTATTGTTAAGATTTTGTAAAATATAATTATCTCTTGAATACAAACAAATTAATTGAATTTATATGAGAAATTTTTGTAAAAATCATTTTAATGTTTTTATTAACTAAAATCATCAGTATCATCATAAAAACAAACAAATAATTGATAAAATTAATAATGAAATGAAAATGAAAAGAATAAAATATATAAACTTACAAGAAAAAGATTCTGTTTTTTCCTTAAGTTCTTTTCTAAATTTGGTTCATTTAAAGTTTTGGAAGATTTCAAAAATTAAGAAAGTATGTGTTTTTTAATTAGTTGCTATATCATTTGTTGTTTAATTTTTTAAAAATTCACCTTCCTCTAATGACTTACAATTTCATTATTATCTTTAAAATCATAATTGATATATTTTTTCAACCCTTTATCAATATAACTTGAGAATTCTAAGCATGCATAATTATTCTTGTAGTTAATTTAGGAATAATCCATTATAAGCTGACTTTCATGTAGAACATCAGAATATGGACAAAATCCAGTAACTATTTCAAAAGCAATAATTGCAAATGAATAGACATCAGCAGCCTTGTATATTAATCCCTACCTAATATGTCAGGATCTGTATATGGTAATACTCCTAAAACATTTGAGATTTCCTAGATTTTTTTCAATCAATTTACTTAGATCAAAATCTGTTAGATATCCAGGATATATTAAATTAATCATTTAAATAATTTCTAAGATTTTCCCTCAATAATAATGCCATCACATTTTTTTGAGTTTCCTGATCTTTTGTACTCAGCATTATAAATAATATCAAACCTATCTTTTGTTAACATAAGGCATCCATTTTATTTCTTTCCATCATGATTCAATTTATTTTTCACTTGTCCATTTATCAAAATCATAGATAGTGCAAAGTTAGGAAATAATCATTCCATTCAAAAATGAATACCAATTAACAACATTAAAGTCACTCCCATCAAGAATACATATCTGGTGTAATAAATGCAACACTGTTTCTATTATATGAATGAATACTAATAGTTTTTCAATGAATTGGAAAACTATGACAATATATATATATAGAGATAAAATATATTTTTTGCTTAGGACAAGTGCAGCATATACAGCTAATATTTTTAAAACAGGATTATCATTAATATTGGCAGAACACAAAAAAAAATTAAACCTGAATTTTATCATATAATTTATTATTCTCAATTAGATTAACTCTTTGATATAGATTTTAATTTATAAAATATCTTCACTCTTATTTTAAGAATGCTGAAGATAATCTTCCAACAATTATAATCAAGTTTTTATTATCGAAATTTACAAAACATGTGTTTATTTTAATTTTGGAATTTTATTCGCTATCAGCAATTTTGAGAATATTTTTTTTAAATTAAGAAAAATAAAAATTGCAGTAGAAATAAAAGAAATCAAAACTATTACATCTATTCCTATTCTATCCAAAGACTAATGTCTAATGCTTTTGATCACTTTTGTAAAAGTAGGAGTAATAATTGAACAAGAAGTAATAATAATCATCCCAATATCAGATGGTATAGTGAATGTCAATATTTGAAATAATAAAAATATACTTCTAACTCCAAGTGATATTTATCTCATTTGTATATTCACCAAGCAACAGAAACGCTGTTAAGTGTATAGGTTGTCTAATGTATAAAATTGAAATAATTAATATGAGCAAAAATAAATCTAAATAATTTAAATGGGAGATAAATATTTATTATCATATGAGTAAATCTCTAATTAAACTTTAAATCATCTCTCTGACTAAATAATTAAAAAAATTATTTATTGATGATGAACTTTGAAACTATTTATCCAGATATAAATATTTTAAGATCAAGTGTAGGCTTTTTCATCATTAATAAAAATTTATTTTCTGAATTTTTATCATATATAAAAATTTTGTATCAATATATGAAATATTCTGTTTAATGATTGTATCTTTTCATAATTTTTAAATTCTAACATAAATGAAATTTTCTGCTTCTAAATATTCAGTATGGATATGGAAAGTTGAAATCATTCTTCAGCACTTAGCACAATTGGATTGGTGAATATTAAAAAGTCATTGAAAAATTGTATATAGATTAAACTTCCATCTGGTTTACGAATTTTTGTTCTTCAATATTTTGCACAAATATAATATAAAGATTGCTTTGCTTTTAAATTAATCTTTCAAAAGCAGGATAATTGAAGAAATAGAATTTAAATTAAATATCATAAGCAACAAAGCACCCCTAATCTAGACCACTTGTTAATTATTTAAAATAAATGATTTCTTTGGTTATTGTAGTCAAAAAATTTTTTTTTCTTTTATTGTTTTGATAAATAAATAATAATATGAATATTCACGATACAGATAAATATCGATATTTTGAATGAAAAAAATGTCCTTTTTCGAATAAATCAAATTATAATCAAATATGGTAAAAAAAAATTATTGTTGTACGAATGCATACAAACGGAATTTATTTAATCCGATAATGTGGCTGCCTTCAATACTTTTTTTTTTAGATTCTAAAGAGAGTTAAAGAAATTGGAGTAATAAAAGGAATGAAGGAAACTAGAAAAGCGGAAGAAATAAAAGAAACGGAAGAAACAGATGAATTAGAAGAAATTGAGGAATCGAAAGATAGGTGAACAAATTGTTATAAAACTTTATTTTAAAATCATTGCTGATAATAATTACATATATTAAATTACAATTAATCAATATATATTATTACAGAAAGTGAGTATTTATATTTTGGTTCAATTATTAAAATCAATGCTTCAAATCATTTAATAACTCACAAATCAATGCAAATTATATTACAGTGAGTGAGTATTCAGATCATAATTAATTATAAACTAATCACATATACAGGAAGTGAGTATTTAGATTAATAGTTATTGAAATCAATGTTTCAATATAATATAACAATTCTCCGATCAGTTATAAACTAATCAACATAAATTATATTACAGAATGTGAGTATTTAGATTTATAATCATCGAAATCAATGTTTTAATATCATACATATATAATAATTCTCTAATCAATTATAAACTAATCAATATAAATTACATTACAGTTGGTGAGTATTTAGATTCATAATTATTGAAATCAATGTTTCAATATCATATAACAATTCTCTAATCAATAATAAACATAAATTATTATAGAATGTGAGTATTTATATTCATAATTATTGAAATCAATGTTTCAATATCATATAACAATTTTCTAATCTATATAACTAATCAATATTAATTATATCACAGCAAGTATTTAGATTCATAATTATAAATCAATGTTTCAATATTATATAACAATTGTTCTAATAAATATAAATTATATAACAGGTAGTGAGTATTTATTATTGAAATCAATGTTTCAATATCAAATTACAATTCTCTAATTAATCAATTATAAAATAATCAATATAAATTATATTACAGTAAATGAGTATTTAGATTCATAAATATTGAGCAATTTAATTCAATTAAATTCAATATAATATTACAATTATCTAATTAATCAATTATAAACTTGTCAATATAGATTATATTACAATCTGTAAGTATTTAGATTTATATTGTGGACCATAGTACTGGGTCTATAACAAATAAGGTACAGGAATTTATACAGTAAAAAATTATCACTATGTTAAAATACCCTAGGGTATTTAAAAAAACTTGGAGTACTTTGCATAGGGGTACTATGGCCTGCAAAATTTAGTAATTTAAATCAATGTTTCAATATCATATAGCAATTCTCTAATCAATGTAAAGTTATATTACAGTTTGTGAGCATTTAGATTCATAATTATTGAAACCAATGCTTCAATATCATATAACAATTCTTTAATCATTTATAAACTAATCAATATAAATTATATTCATAATTATTGAAGTCAATGTTTCAATTAGAGATGGTGGTGAAACTCGATAATACAACTCTCTAATAAATTATAAATTAATCAATATAAATTATATTACAGTTGGTGTTTATTAATGTGATTGATACGAATAGTTCAATTTAATCCAAACTATACAAATCATAACTAACCCTAACCCTAGCCCACGTGATAGTTGATTTTATACTCAATATCAATATTTTTATCATACTCTACTATACTATATTCAACTGGTCGATCCGACTCTACAACTATTTCATAATACCTATTAATGTTTCAATATCATATATAAACTAATCAATATAAATGATGTCACAGGAGGTGAGTTTAGATTCATAATTGTTGAGATCAATGTTTCAATATCACATAACAATTCTCTAGTCAATTGTAAATTATCAACATAAATTATATTACAGAATGTGAGTATTTATATTCATAATTATTGTTTTAATATCACAATTCTCTAACCAATATAAATTATATCACAGCGAGTATTTAGATCATAATTATTGAAATCATTGTTTTAATATCACACAACAATTCTTTAATCGATTATAAAACTAACCAATATCAATATAAATTATATTGCAGTTGGTAAATATTTAGATTCATTGAAATCAATGTTTCAATATTACATAAAAATTTTCTAATCAATATAAATTATATAACAGGGAGTGAGTATTGATCATTGAAAACAATGTTTCAAAATCATATAACAATTCTCTAATTAATCATATATAAACTAATCAATATAAATGGTGAGTTTAGATTCACAATTGTTGAAATCAATGTTTCAATATCATGTAACAATTCTCTAATCAATTATAAACTAATCAAATATAAACTATATTATAGAATGTGAGTATTTATATTCATAATTATTGAAATTAATGTTTCAATATCATATAACAATTCACTAATCAATTATAAACTATCAACATAATTTACATTACAGGGAATAAGTATTAGATTCATATTTATTGAAATCAATGTTTCAATATCATATTACAATTCTCTAATCAATTATAAATTAATAAATATAAATGATATCACAGAAGGTGAGTTTAGATTCATAATTGTTGAAATCAATGTTTCAATATCACATACAATTCTCTAATCAATTATAAACTAATCAAATATAAACTATAATAGAATTTGAGTATTTAGATTCATAATTATTGAAATCAACAATTCTCTAATCAACTATAAACTATCAAAATAAATTATATTACAGGAAGTGAGTATTTAGTAATTATTGAAATCAATGTTACGACAATATCATATAACAATTCTCTAAATTATAAACTAATTATATTATATATTTTATTACAGTTAGTGAGTATTTAAGTTCATAATAATTGAAATTAATGTTTTCATATAATTTAATATCAAATAATAATTCTTTAATTAATTATCAATAATATTTTTAGTTATCCTTCTAAATTTCTTGAACGTCTTCAAGATAAAATTAGAAATTGGTGCCATTCATGTAATATCAAATGATTTCAAAATGAATTTGGTAAATGGACAAGTGGAGATAGAGAAATTGATGAATTTATTCAACAAATACAACTAATGCAAATAAACATCAAGAAATTATTGAATGGATTCCATTTGACAAACTTAAAAGAGTCAAATATCTTGCAAAGGAAGATTTTAGTACAATATACAAAGCAGAATGGCTTGATGGAAGTATTATTTTTTGGGATTATAAAAAAAAAACTAGTACAGATCCAAAAAAAATGAATATTTGCTTAAAAAGTCTTGATAATTCCACAAATAAAAATGATTTTTTGAAAGAGGTAAATATTCACATTATTTAATTTTCATTATTTTAAATAAATAATAATTATATTTTACGTTAATAAATATTTTAGATTAAAAATCAACTTAAGTTTCGAGGTAAAAAGGCAATTGCAATATATGACATCACTAAAAATCCAAAAAAAATGAATATATGATCGTTATGGATTATGAAAAATATGGTAGTCTTCAAAAACTGTTGAATCACAAGTTTGAAGAATTAACTTGGGAAAAAAAATTATCTATTTTATCAACTATTGTAAATGGACTTACAAATATCCATGAAATGGGCTTAATACATAGAGATTTTCATTCTGGTAATATATTTAATCAAACTTTAACTTCATGTTATATTACTGATTTTGGACTGTGCAAACCAGTTACAGAAAATGATTCAGAAAAATTTATGGTGTAATTCCATACATGACATCTTAGACATTGAGTAAAGGAGAATACACTCAAGCATCTGACATTTTATTCTTTTGGTATGGTTATGTTAGAAGTTTTAACTAGTTATCCACCATATATAATATTTCGCATGATATAAATCTTGTAATGAACATTTGCTTAAACCTGAAATTAAGTGTGAAATTCTTCAATCATTCAAAGAAATAATGGAAAAATGCTGGGAACTTGGACCTCTAAATCGTCCAACTGCTGAAGAATTGAAAACTCAACTTGATAAATATTATTATTTTTATGATGATGAAATAAGAAAACAGTTTGAAGCAGCAAATAAATTAAACAAGAATTTTATTTTTATATGATCCAAAAGAAATACATCCTGAAGCAATATATACTGTATATATATACAAGTAGACTCATACCTAAGCTTACAATTCCTGAATGTGATACTTTTAGTAAGTATTTTTTGAGATAAGTTTTATTTATTTTTTTAGAAAAAAAAATTTATATTAATTATTTATTTAGATTCAAGATAGCAAATTTTTTTCAATTCCTGATAATATAATTGATAAATTTATTTTTTTATATTAATTATATTTAAATTTATATAGTTAAAGATGAAGAAAATGAAACTCAAGAAATGGAATGTAAATTTAATTCACCAGGAATAATTGAATAATTGATTTAGAATTAAATATTTATCTTAAACTATATTTTATTTGATCTTGTTATTATTATATTTGATATATACAGTCAGATCCCTCTATAGTCACCTCCTATATACTTATACCCACCTATTAATTCTATGTAAAAAACCTCTATAATTGTCACATCTCTATATAGTCACAGTTTTTGTATTTATTCATTTATTATATTTTATATTTTATTATTTCTGATTTAAATGTCTTATTCATTATTGGTGTTCATAAAATAACGTTTATAATTATCATAAACGAATTAGACAGTTAATTGAAATCAAGTGCTATTTATTATATGTTCTTTTCTATCAAACCATAATTCATTCTTCAAACAAATTACATACTTGGTTGATACTTGAAATCACACATAAATTCATAAGGTTACATTCTATCCGTGTCAGAACTTAGAAAATTGATTATAACCTGTAGACGCAGTGAATTTATTATTAATTTATTCTCCATTATCTAAAACGTGAAAAAAAATATATCAAATTTTAAGATATAAATGAAATTTTTATCTCTACATTGCCAAGAGAAATTTTATAAAAAACAAAATTAGGAAAAGGAAATTCTTTGGGAATTAGAAGTAAAAGTGAGAAGGTTAGAGTAAAACGAGTTCCCATCAATCATAATCATTCTTTTAATCCCAATACATTTTTCGAAAGTTATCCTCATCATTCATATATTATTATTTATTACTCATTGTTGTTTTGGAAATCTTATTATCACTATTAATTGTATCAACCATATTCTACGTATTCTACATATCCTACATATTCTATATATTCTGCGTATTCTGTATTTGGTTTGCTCCTTCCTTAAATTTCCTTAATTTGAAACTAGAAAACTAAAATAAAAGTCAAATTCTCTATACTATATTCAAATGATTCATATTAGTTTAGGATCATTAATTACGTATTAATTATTAAGTATTAAGAAGTTAAAAAGTATTAAGAAATATTAAGAAATTAAGTATTAAGTAATAAGTACAGGAAATAAAAAAAAATGTCAATGTTCGAAAGATGGCTGGAAAGGAAAACGATTCGTGGAAGTGATTTGTTCTTTTCGACCAAATTCTGTTTTTTTTTTTTAAAAAAAAAAAAAAGATACACGCTTACACACTTAACATCATACTTATACTTTACACGACACGACACGTTATAATTAATATTATATTCAAATTTCTCACCTTCAAAATGTAACAAGCAATCTCTTCTTTTGCAAGATTTTTCATGAAGAGGAAGAGGAATTACGCTTCTGGTATGATAAAATTTTAACATCGATTATTTCTTTTTCTTCTTGAAAGAAAATAAAGATAAAAATTTGTAGAAATAAAAAAGGGAATAAAATTCTAAATAAAATAATTAATTTATTTACTTACAATTACAGATTCAATCCCAGTTACATGTATAGATACATTTACAGATATATGAGGTGACACTTTAACTTTTCTTATTTGTTTCGAATATTCTCTATCATATAAACAATTACCTAAAAAATTCCCAAATTTTCTTAAAGTACGTTTCAAAGCATCGGCAACTGCTTCCTTCTTGGCCTTTTTTTTTTAATTGGAAAATATTTATTTTTTTATAAGAAAATATACCATCCATTATAATACATATTTTATATATTTATAAGTAATATAAATATTCATACTTTTTCCAAGGCCATTGACTTATTTTTCATCTTGTCAGCTGATCCGTAACCAATATCCTATTAATAATATTATCATATAGAGTTTCCGTGTGCACAAATAAAGATCAGGATCAAAGACACTATATATATTAATTAAAAAAGTACCATATGAAAGGTACCATCCTTCAAAATTACTTTACATGTGGCAGAGACTCCAACTGAATAATTCCCTGCTTCACAGTCAACCTTTAATTGTTATTAATCATTATTAATTAATTTTTTTGTATTATTTGTGATTATAAATATTTTTAAATATTAATTTAAAAAAAAAAATAAAAATAAAGAAAAAATAAAAATTTCTACATACAAAATCAACGGTAAGATTTTCAATTTTATGAGACCATCCATTAAATCCAAATAAATCATTAGCAATATTAATGTAAATTTCCTTTCCACCTATTTATTATTAAATATTAAGGAGAGAGAGATATAGATATTTTTTTAAAAAAAAAAGGATTAAAAATAATTTTATAATACGTATTGTACGCGTTTTTTTTAACGCGTATTATCACGTAAAAAAAAATAAAAAAAATTCATTATTCCATTTTATTGATTGTTTATTACCACCACCAGTTCTAAGTCTAGTAGACAATAATTCGGTCCCTACTTGTTTTTTAAGGGTCGCTGGAATAACTTTTTCTTTTTTATGTGAAAATTGATTATTATTATTATTTGACCGGTTTTGTTGGTTTCCCCCGTTAAAAGTCATTTTTTTTTTGAAATTTTCTTTTTAATTGGAATAAAGGGTTCTGGGTTCTGCATAATTTTGTATAACTTACATGATTTCTATATGTATAACTTGTGTAATTTGTATAATTTAATAGAGTGAATTTCAAAACTTGAAACGATTAAAGATTTTATAACACGTGATAACGAGAATAAGTTTTGTCACGTGATAATAGTATTTCTATATATTAAGATATATAGATATACATACATTTTTTTTGTCACAATAAAATGTATACGTTTTATTATATTGAATAAGTATCATATTCTCCGAGAGCTTGATACAATGTATAAGTACCATCTGGCCAAATTAAAAAACTATAATTATTTTCTCCACTCATAAAATGATTATGTTCTTGTTTATTCCAAGAAATTGGTGAATCTTTAAATCCGTATATATTAATAACTATCCAAGGTACATTGAGATGATTTTTCTCAATTTGTTCTCTAAATTAATTAATATATACGAGGAATATTAATTAATTATGGATATATGATATGATCGATGTAATAATAATAATAACGATGATGATGTGATGAATTTTAGATAATAAAAAATACATACAGAACGGATTTAAATATCGATAAAATTATTGCGGAAGGAATAAAACCTGTCCATCGTAATAGTGTTCCATCACCCATTTTATAGGGTTCAGGTGGAGAATATACTGAAATATAAGGATCGATTCGATCATGTGCTAGAAGCCTTTTTTTTTTTATAATATTATAAAAATCAATATTTACAAAGGTGAACCAATAGAAATTAACATATAAATAATTTTTTGGTTTACCTTTGAGATTTAAGAGAAACCATTCCCAACCAATCATAGATCTCAATTGCATCAGATTTCCATTTATTTTCTTTTTTATCATCATCACCATCATCATCATTATTATTATTCATCTTTATCATTTCAGATATTTCAGGGATTAAAATATCATTTAAAAAAAATGAATTTTGTTCAACTTTTAATTTCTTGGCATTAAAAGTTGAAGGAAAGTTCATTTCTTTTGATTCATGAGAAATTATATCAATGAAAGAAATAAGAAATGGAAATGATTCAGTTAATGAATTTTCAAAACACCATTTAACACGTTCGTAACTTTTCTTGCCAGGAATCATGGACTTTTCTAATAGATTAATTTGCACAACTTGAATTAAATAAAATTAAAATTAAAATTAAAAATTAATAAATCAAATAAAATTAAATAAAAATTAAATAAAAATTAAAGTTAAATTAAAAGTTAAAAATTTTTTTTACCAAATCTTTGTCGATTTGTTCCATATTTTGATGGTTTTCCTGTTAATCCAAGTTGTTCATAGGTATCTTTGGTTAAGTTTAATATCAAGGTTCCTACATTTTTAAAAAAACTAATAATAAATTTATCATAAAAAAAAAAAATTCATTTATTTATTTATCGTTCAAATTTATTCATTATAATAATTTTTATTATAATTACCTGATTCATCAAGAGAAATTACATTAGATATATCAATACCTTCGCTTAAACTTAATGCCCTAACACATCCTTTATTAATTAATTAATGAAAGAAAGAGATTTTTTTTTAAAAAATTTTTAGAATTGAAATTTATTAGAAACTATTTAGATTGATTTATTTAGAATTATTATAATTATATTATTATTATTATTATTATTATTATTATTATTATTATTACTTACCCCCTTTTACATAAGTATTTATAAAAGAGCGATCAATAAAATATGAAAGAGGTATATTTGCTTTATAAAAAAAAAAATCTTTTGAAAATTGATTTATGATTTGTTGAGAGGATAAAATCGTAGGAAACAATAATTCCATTTGATGATTAAAAGGATGTTCTAAAATAATTTTCTCATGTCTTGAATTTAGAGATTTAATTGTAGATTTTGAAATTAAAAGTTTTGATTTGGCATGCTCAGGTAATGAAAATGCCATTAAAAGTATGTGTGGTGTTTTGTAACAAGTTAAATACCAATATATATTTCATAATAATCGGTGTAACATCGTCTGCATATTTGTTTGTTTGTTAAATACTCCTCCAAGAATCAGTTTAATGATAGAAATTAAATAATAATTATAATAATTAATAAATTATTATTATTATTAAGAGATAGATAAGTTTATTTGAGATTTCTATCAAATATTGTTTGTCAATTATTACAAGCAATCAAAAATTGACGAGAAATTAGTAATGGATTAATTATTTATATTGTTGGTTGCAATGAGAACAGGTAGAAAAATATTCTTTTTTTTTTCTAATATATATATTCATTTTTTTTCCTTCTTTTGAAATATTCCAAAATTATTGATAATCTACGTGAATTAAACAAGGAATGCAAAAAGCAATAAATTAGAATACGAGAAAACGATCGAATGAAAATTTTTCAGTTGTAAGTTTTTACATATTATTTTATTATTATTGTCTATTATTATTTTTTTTTTATTTTTTATTTATTATAATTAATTTTCTAATCTTCAAAAAAAAAAAAAAAGTTGATATTACAAAAAATATTTTAAATTCTCGTATTTCAAACATTTCATGTATTCTATTATTTACCTTATATATCATTATATAATATACATCATTACATGTGTTATATATTAAAATATTATTATAATAAAATCTAAATAATTAATCTTCTTTACATTTATAAATCCTCTTTTACATTTAATAATAATAGTAATAATAATAGCTGGAAATAATTTTATTGGACAAATTGAAGATCTTTGGTCTACTTGGGATGAAACGAGTGTCAGACCTTTATTGGCTAATGAATATTCTGAATTTAAATTAGAGAAAAATTGGAAGATGTGAAAGTGATTAGCTGAAAATAATACAATCTTAATTTATTGCCTTGCCTTTACCAGTTGTCTATCATTGTAAACACTTACTTTACAAAAGTTGGTCATTATTTTTTCTTGTCAACATTAGAAAGATTATTTAAATCAATAAATATAATTAAAAAAAAAAAATTCAAATACTGTGTTGTTTAATCTGTATATTATTATTATCAATTTTTCTCTTATGAATTATTAATATTAATTCTTTTTCTACAATAGACCTAATCTTTAGTAAAAAAATTTATGGATTAATTTTAATAATAATTTCAGCGACAAGTAGAACTTAAATCCCGAATCAGAAACTGGAATAAAATTATATCGTTTAAATCATAAAATTATTTACGTACAGTCGATCTACTATTCGTTGGGCCAAGTTTATTAAGTTTATTTAAAGTTTATTAAAGTTTACCATACCACATTATTGTTAATTACTTTAAACTATTAAAAAATCTTCCCGAAGATTTTATTTACTTTTTATATAAACTAAATTACATTGATTTAATTGATTTAATTGATTTAATTGATTTAATTAATTAATTGATTTAATTGATTTAATTGATTAATTGATTTAATTGATTTAATTAATTAATTGATTTAATTGATTTAATTAATTAATTGATTTAATTGATTTAATTAATTAATTGATTGACTTAATTGATTTAATTACGTTGATTTATTTTCATCATCATCTCCATCATCCTCTTCAAAATTTTTTTCATAAATTTGACTAAGTTGAACATGTTGACTTTTTTCTTTAACATGTGTGTATTTTTGGATTTTAGGGGAATTACGAACAATTCTAAATTTTATGTTATTAATAACGACTATATCTTCAGAATCCGTCGATGATGATGATTGTTGTTGTTGTTGTTGCTGTTGATATTCCGAATTATCTATTGGCTTTAATTGTCCATTTTCGTCAATATAGAAAATATGAATTTTACGTTCTTGTTCAACATCTTCACTGTTACTAGTTCCTTCACTATCATCATTATTCTTTGAATGATCAGAAGAAGAAGAAGAAGAAGAAGAAGAATCATCTGGATGTTTCTTTCTTGTTTGATCTTGCATTTTATCTACAATGGTTTTTAACTTTTCCCTTTTTTTAACTTCATCTTTATTATTTTTGAAAGAAAGTTTATTATTTGTTTCGTCAACTTTTTCGTTGTCATTTTTGCTATTTTAACATCATCCATTATGTTATTATATGTTATAATCTTTACTATTTGCTACCATTTAATAAGGAAAGGATGGAATGAAAACTCTACCTCGCTTCTTCTTCACGTGAGCCACTTTCTAAACTTTTTCGTTTACGTTCGTACTGTTCCTTATATAGTAAAATTATAATATTAATTATTTAGATATTACTTTAAAAATAAAGGAATAAAAGAAATAATAAAGATTGATATATATTTACATCAGAAACTATAGGTCGACATTCTATAGGATGAGCATTATAACTAGTTTTACTATGAAATGCAGGATCATTGCATAAACGTGGTGTATGTATAACAACCAAGTAGTGACAAGTATGTATTTCCTTGACCATTGCAATACTATCTCTAGTTTGGGGAACACAATGAAACTTGGAAAAAAATAAATAATAAATAATCAATAATTAAATCTATTATTTTTTTTATTATTTTCATTATTATTTATTAAAAAAAAAAAAATTAAATGAACAAACTTACTTCAATTTCAACTTTTCTAGGTCTTCCAGTTAAATCACACTTTGTACCCTGACCCCAACGTTGAACTAAATATTTCTTTCCACTACCAACTTGTAAATCTGTACCTTCTTTATTTCCTGTATTATGACCTTTATTTGAAGATGGTAACGTGGCAACACTTGGATCATATTTTCCTAAAAGAAATATTGGTCCTTCAGCAACAACTAATTCTGACTGTTGGACAGAATGATATTGTCTCACATGCCTATGAATTTTTTATTTATTTATTTTTTTTTAGAGATCAAAATATTCGTTTGTTCATTAAATTAAAAATATTTAAATTTAAATTTAAATTTAAAATAAATAAATGAATAAATTAAAAAATCTTTACTTAAGATGACAATATTCATAAGTCCACCATCCATTTATCTAAAAAAATAAAATAAAATAAAATTATTTGACATTCTTATTGTAAGTTAAAAATAAGTTAAAGTATTGAAACCTTTACGAAAATAAAATTCTCACTTACTTACATAATGTAGACATTGACTTTTCATAGGTTCCAAAAGTTCTAACCCTTTCTTCAAGAGAATTGAATGATCTATTTTTTCTTCAGATTTTTCGTCGGGTTCAGATTGATTTACAAATGGTATTTGACAAAGATACGGTTGTCCAGAAGCTGTTCGCATAATAATTGATGTTGGTTTGGTCATCTCGGGATCATTGAAGTTCTCTTTAGATACCGAAAAAGTCATCTCATTTCCCTGTTTTAATTTAAATCCCATATTATTATTACTATATATATACCTTATCAACAAAGAGTTCTAAAATAAGAAAATATGAATCTTACCGATTGTACATTATCCAATACATAATTCTCCAAACTACTATTTTGAATTATTTGATTTTTATTGAAAACAACTTTATATTGTGGGTAGGATACGAGATCGTCGTACACCCATGAGATGGAATAGGCATTTATGAAATATTTCGGTATTGAGAACCAACAACAAGAAAAAAAAAATCCTAAAATAAGGTGTGAAATTATTTTTTTAAGAACGAACAAACTTTTCATGGTTAAAAATATTCGTGTGGATAAAACCTACCACCCTAACTTTTAATTATATTATTTGTAGAGTCACGGGAACGTTACACGCACTGATTCTTTTGATACATTTATAGCCTATTATATAATACACAGTGGTGGTATAAAAATATAATTATTGGCTAGATAAAGAAGCATTATTATTGGTGATTATAATTGATAATGTGATGCGCAAAAATTTGTAATTTATGATTCGTTTCAGTTTCAGATATATGTACGTGTTCAACGGCACGAGTATCCACTAGTTACTTAAAAATGAGAGCATAAAAAAAAAAATAACCTATCAAAAATGAAATCTTTGCCTCAATTAGTGTTCCCGAATTATAAATCCCTTATCTTTAATTATAGGATGCGTAGTGGCATACAATCGGAAGAAAATTGTCTTTTTGAGGATTGACAACAGAAAGTCGAGATAGTGATAGAAAGCAACATCGCTAATACAGTCAATAATCACATTATCTGGACCAATAAAAAATAAAAAATGTGATTATGGACTTTTTACATAATGTGATTATAAATATAGAAAATGTATAATCTATCTTCGGCATTGTATTATGGAATATAATGTAAGCAGTGGTGACTGGTCATAAATCATTTGCGAGAAGTTTTTCTTTGTATTATTAGATGCAATGAGGATTTGAAACCCCAAGTTGTCTAAATAAATCTCTACTTCTTTATTTTTTTTATATACATATACATATATTATTCAAGCTTATAGGAAAGCCATAAACGTTTTTTTAGATATTTAATGTGTATCTAGCATATAGGTATTTGTGTGTAGTGTATATAGTATACCAAAGGAAAGAGTATCTTTTTACCTAGACAACTTAGACGAAATATAACAAGTATCGAAGAACAAGTTAAAACAAAAAATAAACCCTTTTTTCCTATAACATAATCTGGCTCTTTATTTTACTTAGACGGAACCTGAACAAAATTTACTTGAATAATATTTATAAGGTCATGGTCATGGATATTTATTTACTATGTATTTATAATAATGTTAAATATGATAAATAATAATTATTGAATACTTTCACTTATTGATTGGGGTCGGTAAACTTACATTAATAAAAACAATACAAATGTTAAACGATAGTTAAGTTTCGGAGAAGGCTTATACACTATAGAAACCGTTATTAAAATAGTCTCACGAGTGGAATTTTGTAATTGTAAAAATGCGTCAAATTCTGGTTCACTATTGTCTCCATCATTATACATTATATGTCTAATTTCACCTTGTTCATCGTTACGAATACGACCGAAAAGATCAAGGACTCCATATTTAAACCTTTTAAATGATGGTATTTCTGAACTGTTTAGTGTGAGATAAAGACGTTTGCATTCCCTACTATCGGCGATTATGACTTTGAACGAATGTGTTTGTTGATCCATTCTTTTTTTTTGCAAATTTAACAGGGTCAGAATATGTTTTTTTAATAAAGACAATAAGACTAAATGTTATCATACTTTGAGTTATTGAATTTTTCGATATATAGTAATTATGTTTATTTTCTTGTTTTTACCAAATGTTATATATCTCTGAGATATCGACGTGTACCCGTACATAATTGTATAAATGTACCACATTTTAGAAAAGGAGTGCGTATTGTTTTTACAACTTTGTACACCATACTCAATTTCTATTTAGATAATACGGAAAGGTGGATGTGTACGAGTACACTGTACAAAGTTGTAAGGCAATAGTTAAAAATTTTAAGTTAGGGTTATTCATGTGTTAGAGCACTTGTACACCAAGATCGCATGACGAGCCGTCACGCCAAGTGACTACACACATTTACTGCACCTGACACGGGTGTAATCCATCATTATGGGAAAACCCACGGCCTCCCTACCCCAAAAAGGAGAATTGTAAAATCCGATACTAAATTTCATACAACAATAATTTTTCTCATCGCCGTGACTCCCTGCTAAAACCAAACTTGAACCTTTGAAAGTTTTTTCAACTTGACAAATTTTCTCTTTCTGCGGCCTTGCACACTTAGTTCTGCAAAATCTGAAGATGACAATTATAAAACATTTTAAAAGAACCAAAGGTAGATGATTTAGATGATGAGAGAAGACAACCCTTAATATCTTTATGACAAGGTACGGTCATATAATGTATTAGCATATTACTTTTGTAGATGAGAGATTTACAGTTAACTTGTAGATGCAGATTTATTATTTTAAATTTTTAAACAAAATACACGAAAGAAATGCATTAACTATTTTTTTTTGTGAAGAGCTTCCAGTAATATCAATAACAATTAAAGGTATTTTATGCATACATTATTTTATTAGGAGTCTAAATAATCACATCATCAATTACAAATTATCAGATACAACAGGAATACATAAATATCTTCTATTAGCGAATGGGATAATTGACTTGGAGGAGTATAATTTTCTTATAATAAGTAATCTGTATTCACATAATACTTATTGATCACATTGAATATTTTGATTTGTTTACAAAACTAAAAGAAAGTACCTTAATAAAAAAAAATATAAAACAAGACAAAATTTATCATTTCTTCTTTAGACATTTTAAGTTATGACTATTGGGCTGAAGATGAAATAGATTGAGTACAAATAGCAATTAATATCACAGATAATCTCCTATTAGAAATATAAGAAATATATATGTAAAATAACCTGAGAATAATTTATCTTAATATGTATTAAATAATTAAAACACTAGTTTTCAAAATATTGTAAATATTTATAAACTGGATCTTACCTCTTACCTTAAGTTAAGAAAAGTTATAACCTTTAACCCCTGAGTTCATAGAACAGTGTGACCCTAATCTGACTTAACCCATTGATTCAGATTGGATTATCGAGTTGACCTGACCCCTTAGGGGTACTATCTGTATTATAGTATTTCAAAGATGATAAGTAAACAGTAATAATAACTTGTTGATAAGGAGGTTGGGATATAAACGAACATTGCGTTCTAACTTTAACTTGATCTATGTATATAAATATATGCATAATGAAATGATTTTTATTCTTTTGAATATTACTTTTGTATATATGAGATTAATGGATTCAACTAAAAAAAGCTTGTATATGCAGCTTATTACAGTAAGATTTTTTTAAACATATTACACACAAAGGAAATGTATTAACGATTTTTCTGTGAAAATTCAAGATTAGAAAGTATAAGTTTCCTGTAATATCGATGAAATATAAAAGAACTGATTCATCTATCAATTGAAGATCCTGATTAATTACTCTATATTAATATAGAAGTAGTTATACAAACACTAAACAAAAATTTAAAGATAAATTATCCGAAAACAAAATTATTATTTATTTTAAAAAAAAATTTATTATGTAGAGATTCGGTGCAATATATTATGTAATATATTTTTTATAAATATTATTTTTTTTTGTTATTTACAAGTATTTATTTTATTTTATTTTTTTCGTTTACAAGTATGTATATTATTTTTGCCTTGCTTACTAGTATGTATATTATTACTGATATCACAAAGATGTTTTATGTTATTTATTTCTAGGGTACCAATCTCAAATTGGTAAATCCCATTATTATTTCTTCCTTGTTCATTATTACTACTTTTGCCATTATTACTCTCAGCAATTCTTTGTTCAGCTGACTTGCCGAATATCTTATAATCCACGCTTCAACTGTTTTGATTGCTGATACGTTATTTTATCGAATTTCTCCTGTTTCTAATTCCATTAACATTTCTTTTGCTATATTTCCTGCTAAAAATAGCATCTAAATAAGTTTTGACTATAGTTATCATTCTTTTTCCATTTCCTGTTGTCCAAACTTCTGATTATTTCTGAAAGCCCAACCTTTTTTGGCAACTCAAATGTCCTGTCTAGAACTATAGAAATAATAATTTTATCAAGAATTTTTAAATTTAAATAATTATTATTTATCTGTAGAATAGATAAATGAACTTTGATTATTATTATAGAATATAATCAAATAATGTAATTTTCTTTCTATTATAAATTCAATAAAGATAGAAAAATATTTGTGAAGTAATAGATTTAACTTATGCAATGGTTCGCTGATTAATTGTGTTATATCTTCTGGAGAAAAGTTTAACCGGGGACCCCAAATTTGACAAACTTCTGGTTCAAATATAACCTACAAATTGACCTTCGATAGGCCATTCAAAATATGATGATTTGGTGGTGATTCCCGATACAGTTATGTGGTTATGTTTTGGTTCTATATTAGCAACCACAGTTTCTCCTAAATTATTTATTACTGTTTTCAATTTTATTTCCATCATCTAAACTATTACCAATTTGTAATATATCTCTTGATATCCATGAAGTAATAATAAAATTATTAGTAGCAAATTTATTATAAATAAAAAATTTATTTGATAAATGTGAAATAAAATAAAATAGTAATGATACGCTACCTACGCATGATATGAATCAACACTTGATTTTGCTTCTCCGGGTTCAAAAGAATATCAGCCACAAACATCTATATCGTACCAATGGTTTAGTGATACTTGTCATAATTCAAAAAAAGTGAAATAATCAATTATGACATATGGTATAATTGCAACTGATATCTTTAATGTCATAATTGATTATGTCACTTTTTTTGAATTACCACAGAACCTTAATGGTTAGAACTCATCATAAAAAATTTGCGATATTTTATTTGATAAAAAATCATAATTGCAAACTTTATACTGAGTGTTAAGATTATAATATCAAAAAATTAATAACTAATGCTTTATATAAAAAATATATGATTGATAATTTAATTAAAATTTATAAATTAGATGCATCCAAATCATTCATCAATCACCTTCGTCATCATCACCTAATTAAAAAAAAAAAAAAGAAAAAGAAAATTAATTATGAATTGAATATGAATATAATAAAATATAAAATATATAATTAATACTTACTGGAATTTATTTGATAAAAAGATTTTGTTAATTCTTCAAGTTTCTTTTCAAAATTATCTTCATTTTTAGGTTTTGGAAGATTTGAAAAATTGAGAAGTCGACTGGTATAAATTGCTTGCGGATGAGTTATACAATTTGTGGGAGTTGGTGTTATTTCAGTTGTTTGATTTTTGGAAAATTCTTCAGCTTCTTTAATTTGAATTTTTAATTTCACTACTAATTTTATAAAATCCTTTTTTGAAGTCCCAATAGCAGTATTTACACAACTCTGTATGTAATTCATCAAAAGTGGGTCGATGTGTAATTCGGGCATCCCAACATTGCATAATCATTTGTGAAATTAACTTAGGCATGTGAAATGAAATTTTTGGTTGAAATCCATTACATATTTTAAAAGCCAAATCTTTATCATGAGACACATCGTGATATGGGAGAATTCCAGTGATGATTTCACAAGCAACAATTGCAAATGAATAAACATCAGCAGCTTTTGTATATTCTTCCCCATTTAATATTTCAGGACCTATATAGGGTAATACTCCAGAAATGGTATTCTTTTGATGATTTTTTATGTTATCTGTAATTAATTTCCTCAATCCAAAATCTTAAATACATAAAAAACTATCTTCCAAATCATATTTTAAAATATTCCCGGGGTGAAAATCACAATGAACTATATCTAATTTATGAATTTTTAAAAATTGTTTAGCTATTAATAATAAATGTTCTAATTTTTTTTCTAATTGATATTGTTAAAATTATTATTTAAATAATTTCTAAGACTTCCACCTTTAAAATAAGTTAAAACCATCATATATTCATGAGTTACTGGATCTTTTGTAATTCCGATAAGATAATCTGATGACCCTACTCCATTTGTTCTCAAGAAACAGAATCCCTAGACATATTTACAGCATAATGAATTTCATCTTCCAAGATCGCGTCAATATCTTATCTTCTTCACCTCGGAATGGCATTTCATATATCAAAACACTAAATGCCCACCAATCTACTGCGAGAAAATTATGCTATGAAAAACCTACCATCACATTGAAATCTTTCATTCACAAATAATTCTTCACAATATGAACAATTCATAATCTGATAGAATATTTGTTGAATAAATTTGTGCTGTTACGTTTGCGGAAAGCGCCTGCTCGACAAAGACCTGCATCAGGGGATAATTCGAGCATTTTCTTTAACTAATCATTAGGTTTCAAAAGATATGAGAGAGAAATACATTAATAAATCATTTATCGTTTTTAATTAGCGCTTAATTTAATTGATTTGTAAAAGTAAAATAAAATATTTAACTCGATACATTTTTTAATGATAAAGTAATTTTGTGATGATCACTCACGGATCATATTATTAAATGTGTTCTATTTATTAAATAAGCACTATTTTATTCAAATAAAAATATAATAAGAAAAGATTTTATATTACGGAAAAAAATGATGAATACCTTCGAATGATTGTTGATATAGATCTTAATCCTTCAATGCGACATGATGGAAACGACTGAAAAATATAAATCTAACAGAATAAATTAATCAAAGTTTTGGAAGAGCTATCAAGTGGAAATAAATTTACAACTATTAGTCTAACATAGTCAAACATATAATATACTAATGAAAAAATTTTACCAGATGATGATTCGGAAGATGATTCCAATATGGAGATTGTAGATCTAACCAGTTCAGAAAAATTAATATTAATATAATCTTGAAAATCGTATTATAGATATTTTTATATTCTAACCTGCCTAACGATATCGGTCACATGTGAAAGATATAAATATTATCAAGACCACCCAGAATACCAGCAGTTAATTTCGAACGAAATGGATTCCAAACTCGATATTCTAATTTATTCCCATCTTTATCTTCTAACGAAATTCTTTTTTCCCAATAAACTGATTCCCCAACTACGAGATTTTTGGTAACAAGAAGATCCTCTTTGCCGCGTGCAACAAAAACTCCTACATAAATAAAAATATATTAATTAACAAAAATTCATTTATAAATAATTTATAAATAATTATTTATATAATGTAATTTTTTTAATGGTGGCCATTAATGAATAAAGAGGAGGAGACTTCGTTAAATAAATAAATAATTATATATTACCTTCATGTCTATGTGGTTCAATTATAACGTCAGAACCTCCTCTAGCTCCAAATTACCTCCACCGTCTGATTTACCATTTCGTTCAAGTCCACGTCTTAAACCACCTAAAAGATTATTTTGAATAAATTATATTATAAAATGTTTTAATCCTTCCCGAAAATAAAAAAAGTTCACTATTAATTTACTTCGTCCTCCACGACTCCCACCACCACCACGACCTCCTCACGACTTCCCCTACCTCCACGTCCAGTATCTAAATAAGAATCAATATAATAAGAATAACGTGAATTTAATTGAATTTAAATTGAATAAATTTATAATAATAAATACTATACTTACTGAATGCCATGATTTTTATTTTTTTAATTAATTGAATTTATTAATTATTGTTATTTCAATTAAGAATATTTTTTTTAAAAAAAAAATTATTCGTGATCATCAAATCTAAATTAAACATTGGTTATTATTCACGTGCATAGGACGAGGTTCTTACTTGTGACCCCAACGTGCAGTATGCTACTATTGTTATTATGCAATTCGAAGCAATCGAAGAAGGTAATTATTATCATGAGAACATAATACATAATAATAATACAAAATAATGATAATAATAATAGAGAGAAAGGAGAAAAGAAGAAGGATTTTGTAATCAAAGCAATTTAGTAATTTAATTTCGAAAACCAACCATGAAATTATATATCTTGGATTTTATATGATCTAAGAAATTAACATTAGAATTTAAAGTATAAATCAAATTATATTAATTTTTATTAATTTTTATTATTTTTACTATTTTATTTTTTTTTATATTTTTTTTATTATTTTCATTATTTTATTATTTTCTTTATTATTTTAATTATTTTAATTATTTTCATTATTTTCATTATTTTATTACTGTATTTTATTTTTTTGTATTTTATTTTTTTTATTATTTTTAATTAATAAAGTTTTTAAATTTGCTTCGCACTAATTAAATACAATACAAATAATATATTTTTATTTAAAATTTATTATTATTTAAAATTTAATAAAGTATAAAGCAATGAAAATATCGCTTTTCTTTTTCATTTGTAATAAAATAAAATTTTTAGAAATATAGACATTTAAAAGATTTTATTAATATAATATGAATTTAAAATATAGAAAAAAGAATATAGAAAAAATGTAAAAAAAATATAAAGAAAAATATATATATATAAAAAAAAAATAAAAAACGTCTCTACAACTTCTTATATATTTTACGACAACCCTTCTTAAACTTTCTCCACAACCTCGCTCTCCTACTTTCTTCTTTAATTATTCTTACTTCGTTCTCTCCCCATGTCACCACCTTCTTCTCCTTCTTCTCCAACTTCAAATCCAATACATAACCTTCCGGAATGGGGATCCACGCCACATCGTCCCCAATTTTTATTAACATTTCCTATAATAATAAAAAATCGTTAATTAACACAATCAAATTATTATTATTATTACATGTAGATTATAAAAAAAAAAAATTTTTTTTACTTACGTTATTAAATAATCTTTCCCAGAAGAACAACCTGGCTTCATAACTGGGAATTTGTAAGATTACTTCTGGGTCCCGATAGTCAATGAACCCCGAACCTTCACCTACTACCATAGCAGTTACGCCAAAAGGATCTGGAGAGACAAAAGGTTTATAAAAATTTAATAAAAGTTTTTATTTTTTTACAAAAAGCAGTACTAAATAATAATAAATAAATTATATTTTGTATGTACCGCGAGTATTGGTTTTTGTTTCGTTATTAAAAGCCATATTATTATTATTATTATTTGATGATTTATTTGATGATTTATTTGAAGATTTGAGAAAAAAAAAATTTAAATCAAATAATTTCATGCCGGCTTAAATATGTTTTTTCTCATGCTAATAATTATTACTTGTAATAATTTAACTATACTATCAAATCTGATGTGATAATATTAATAATATAATTATATTACATCAGATTGATAGTTAATAATAGCCATTATTATGAATAGCGCAACACAGAAAAAAAATAATAATGAAAGTTAAAAAAGAGTCATAAATTTCTAATCGGGGAATTAAATGGATTGATTAATTATTACTTGTAATTATTAATAATCAACTATCAAATCCGATGTAATATTAATTATTAACTATTATATTACATCAGATTGATAGTTAATAATAATCATTATTACATCAGATTCTAATAACGCAGCACAGAAAAAGTTAAAAATGAGATAATATGGTATGATATGATATCATTAAACAATGTGATAAAAAAAAAATCAGTTAATAATTACAAATAAAAAAAAAGTATAATACCTAAAATAGTCATCAAGCATTCGATCAAAAGAAAAATCAGTCAATAATCATTTGAATAGCGCAGCAAAGAAAAAAATAATAATGAAAGAATCAACAATGTGATATTATACTTCTCATCAAAAAAAAAATCAGTTAATAATTACAAAAAAAAAGTATAATACGATAAGAATTTCCTAAAATAGTTATCATGCATTCGATCAAAAAGAAAAACCAGTTAATTAATAATTATCATTAATTTTATCATGGGGTACCAACGGGGGTGCTACCCTGATTACAAATTCCTAATCGGGGTACTTTAATCGATTGAATAGAAGATTAACATAATATCATGAGAATATTAATTTAAAGTTAAAAAGTTTATCAGAATAATCGAAAAGAATTATTAATTATTCTTTTTTTGTTCTTTTCTGTTCTTTTTTTTATATTTTTATATAATTTAAATTTATTAAATTTACAATATCGATTACAAGTTAAATCACATGTTTTATCATTTATTGAAAACGCGAATATAATAAATATATTTGATAAAAATAATTTAATTATAGATTGATAAAAATTTAATACATTAATTGATACTAGTCATGCGAAGTTTAATACATGGCATGGAATGTTGATGATTATCTACTGCGCAATATGCATCTTAGTTACTATCAAATGGAAGATTAACATAATGTCATGAGAACATTAATTTAAAGTTAATAAGTTTATCAGAATAATCGAAAAGAATTATTATCATTTATTGAAAACGAAAATATAATAAATACAGTATAATAATATTAATACATGGAATGTTTATCTACTGCGCAATTTGCATAGTAGCTGCTATCAAATAGAAGATTAACAATATCATGAGAATATTAATTTAAAGTTAAAAAGTTTATAAAGTTTATCAGATATCAGTGAAAATAATAGAAAGAATTATTAATTGTTCTTTTTTTTCTTTTTGGTTCTTTTTATATCATTAAATTTATTAAATTACAATATCGATTACTGGTTAAATCACATGATTTATCACTGATAAAGATCACGGGTACTAATGGGGTACCACGACATTCCTTAAATATAATCAATATAATAAATATTGATTAAAATAATTTAATTATATATGATTTAAATGATTTAAAAATAATTTCTTTATTGTTTGACAATCCATTCATTTAATACATTTAATACATTTAATTATTTAATTTAATAACGTCATGCTAAAGAAGTATAGTTAAATGTGTGTAATTAGAAAATAGATTAAGATCCAAACACCCATTTTTTTAATCTTGAATGAACTACAGCTGTTTTTATACAAATAATAATTCGATCTTGGTTTCTACTATCAAAGCGGATACATAATAGTCAACTAAATAATTTTTTTATACTTTGTTGTTTAACTTTCTAAATAATGAAATTTCTCTTTTTATTTTTTACATTCTTAAATCTAAAGTATGTTCTTTATTCGCAATTTATTTTATAATTATTATTATTTATTTTTTTGATTGATTCAATTAAACAATTATTTAAACATGAATGAAAAAAAACATTGCAAAATATTATAAATATTATAAATCTACTTTAATTTGTTTGAAAGAGAAAGGGATCTTATGTATTACTTGATAAATTGAAAAAAAAATATAGATATTTGTTCAACATATTTCACATATAAATATTAAACGGTATATTTTCATATTTATATATAAAATTGTAAAGAAAAAAATTTTCAAATTATTTAAATAATTACCTATATCTTAGATAAAATATTTGAACAAAATATTAAATAATAATGAATAATAGTCAGAACAATTGATTTCGAAATGTTTATTTGGAATCCTTGAAAATTCTTCTTAAGATCAAGTCATAATATCCCAAATAATCTTATCAAAGTATTTAAATCTTAGGGATTTGACTTTAAAAACGTTTATTAATTTTGTTTTTAAAAATAATTTGTGTGACTTGCAATATATTGTGTTGACGTGGCACGAAATAAAATAAAATAAAATATTATGTTACGCCAATCAGTCTACCTGATTCAAAATTGCCGTTACTCAAAGATCTCACGTTTATCACTCGTTATCTGTCAGCAAGATTGACCTCTGGCACATATAACAGCTCAAACAATTACAATGATATTGTGATCTGAAAGGTACGATGAGTAAAAGGAGTAGAAGTATCTCCACCAATTACTCGAACACTTTTAAATTAGAGTAGGCTTACTGATGCAAATTTTATTTAAGCGAGGTAAGTGAGTTTATTATTTAGGTAGATGAATTTTATTATAGAGACTTAATAGTAGAAATATTACAAGATGTTATGTCTATGACTACCACTAATCTTCTATACTAATATTATGAAAATTATTACTAATATTAATTCGAGACACTACAAAATTATTACTATTATTAATGTTATAAGCAGATATTATGATAAATTATTATTATGTAGAAAAATGCTATGATAATAAAAGGAAAAATTCTTCGTTTTTCACTCCTGAAGGTCTCATCTGCGGCCGCGCGATCACTACCTCTTTATATATCTTTCTTTTTATTTATCTTTACCCTCAGTTGCCGCCCATAACACATTTTCTTTTGGAGGTGTTGCACGAAGGTGAATAAATAACCACCTCTGTACTTCACCCAAATAGTGCCACCTCTGCTCGCCACCCTCAATGGCCGCAGACATTTTCGTGCAATCACAATATGTACATGTTTATCGTAAAGTGTGTAATGCGTGTGACGAGACGAACATAATATATATAAATCGGCGTGACATCGTTTCGTTAACCCGAAAAAAAGAATTCGGATGGATGATTAATTATTGAAGATACTTTTCAAAAAGAAAAATATCCCATTTAATCAATTCTTTGAATTTCAATATGTAAAATTTTATTATTGCAAATATTTTTAAAGCCATTTTTAAAATTTCTCAAAAAGCTTTTGCTCTCAAAAATGTTTATTTAAATAATAAATTTACATGGGATAATTTAATATCAAATTAAATTTATTCTATGATTAGAATTTGAATTTACAGTTAATTATTTGTATATTAATTGAAAAAGATTAAAAAGACTTAAATTTAAGCAAGAAAAAATATTTAATTAATTAAATTCACTTATTTATTTAATTTATTTAAAATTAAAATTATTTTATCGCTCTTTGCAAAATTATGCGGTCATGTGAAAATTTGATAATATAATTGATAGGTATTCGAATACCAAATAAACAATATCACGTGCATGATCTTCAAATTTAGGCCAATAAAATTTCATAAAAATTTATATCACGTTTCAGATCATCCAATAAATTTTTATCAAAATTAAGTTTCGCGCATTAAATTTAAAGATCATTTGTTTTTTATTTCTCTTGTTTTATACTAAATGTCTCCTAAAAAAACCAAAGGCTCAACTATTTATCAATTAGGCAGTTGTTATATTTGCTCAAAATGCCTATATTGTTTTGAAAT